AAAAAAAAAAAAAAAAAAAAAAGAAAGAAATGTCTTTTTCTGCAAACATAATTAACCCACCATGTGGAAAAGCTGGATGATTAAGGTGGGAAAGACCTCAAACTATCCACTCTGACTTCCACCAGGTAGTAAACGAGAGATCCAACAGAAACTCACTCTCCTCCGCCACTCTCTGCACTAAACCTGCTTTATATACCCCTTCTTCCTGCGTCTCTCTTTCTTTCCTTATTCTGTTATCTCTCTTCTCCTCTGTCTGCAAATGGAAACGGACAGAAATGCAAAGAAACATTCTCTTTATTCCCTTTATTCTCGCCTGTTTGACCCTTTTAACAGCTGTTAAAAAAGAAAAATCTCTATATTGTAAATATTTACAATTACTGAATTTATTCATCTCATGTCTCTTTCTATGGGAAATTCAAATATTCTAAGTAGAGGACTCATCTCTTAGCAGCGGTTCCCAGCCCGTGGGTTGTGACCCCTTTGTAACAATGAAAAGACATCGTGGCATTAGGAAGGTTGAGAAGCACCACCTTCCAGCCCAGGGAAAGCTGCTTCGAGCTGTAGCCTGCCGCACTCTTCCCAGACTCCCCGAGCACTACCCGCTGTGCATCGTACCTCGGCTTTGGTCAGCTGCTCCCGGAGTTTCTCGACTTCTTCACGGAGATCCCGGATGATGCGGGCGTTAGGGTCCTCGTTCACCACAGCGTGGTTGACAATGTGCTTGGCTCGATCTGCGTACCGCAGAGTCGAGAGGGTTTCGTCATAGTTATCAGCGGCGGGACTCACGGTGGCCACCATAGCTGTCTTGCTGTTACCCCCAAGACTGTCCTACAGGAGGAAATTAATTGAGTAGCATTTTACAGGTGGAAGATGATGTCACAGGAGGACACTGAAGTCAGGAACAGTGAACTAACTTCCCCAAGCCCGACACACACCGAGAGACAAGCTAGAGCTAAAACACAGAGAGGCACCTCCAGTCCTGTGCTGTGTCCTCTCTGCCAAGCTACTTTACTTAGAAAACCTTTTTAAAGAAAAAAAGTGGAGGAAAGGGAGCATTGGCCTTTGAGCAAAGACAGGGAAATGCAAAGAAGCCTACATTTCAGTTTAATCAAATTAACTCTAAGGCAATGTGTCTATTTAACAGGCAATGATTCCATAAGAGAGCAGACTACTCAGAATAAAAAGGATTCCTCCCGTGCCTACAAGCTTCTTTAGAGAACCGATGTGGAATGACCTGACATCTGACCCAGGAGTGGCTGCTGACAACCTCCTCGGCCACCCGGGCACGGAGTTCTGTGAAGCCTGAACAATGGCTCAGATGCCGCTGTTACCGGCTATCAGACACCTGGTCAAGTTTTTGAAACGTAAGGTACAATCATAATCTCGCAAGACAAAAAAATATGAAGGAGCTTCGTTTTCTTCCCTCTGCTAGAGCTTCAAAAACTACCCAAACAGGTTTCCTGTTTGACACAATCGCTCCTGGGCTCATGGAGAGAAGACGCCAACTGCTTCGTTACGCTCTAAGTGGCAAGGACGGCGAGGCGGCTTCCGAACTCACTCGTGACAAATAGAAAACACTGCCTTCATTTTAGAGCACTACAAATAGCGCTCCACACAGCTCAGAATCACAGATCTAAGCTGACCGCCTTGGCCAACCGCACAGGCCAGGCTCCGCAAGGTCCAGCCTCGCAGATGTCCTCTGAGATGGCCGCTCATCCCCACCTTCCAGTGCTCAGACCTCAGTCAGTGTCATCTCTCGGCCTTCAGGGTGGCCAGGACTTATTAATCAGCCTCTAACAAACAGAAAGCAGGGGCAGTGATGGCGTGTCACTTCTAAGATTAGACTAAAGGCAGGCGGTGGTTTCTGTCCGGGGTGATTTCTCTCGCCCTGGGGGAAGCAGCTGCCGTGAGGTGAGAGGGCCCTAACAAGAGCCACAGGAGTGAGTCTGGACGCAGATGGTCTGGAGCAGTGGTTCTTAACCTTCCTAACCTTCCTGCCGCGTTACTAATGGAATAAAGGGGTTGCAACCCCCAGGCTGAGAACCGCTGACACTTCAATTTTAGCCACAGGAGGGACCCAGCCAGAACCACACAGCTCAGGTGCACCCAAATCCTGACCTGCAAAAACTGGGGAACTGTAAAGGATTGTTGGGGTAATCTGTTACAAGCAACAGACAACTCCTCACACACTAAGATACCATTCCAGCCTGAAAGAACTATCAAAAAAAAGAAAAAAAAAACCCAGATTTAACACCCTCTTTAAATAATAAGGTATCATGGAGCGAAAGATACTCAAGATAAAAGAGACTAACAAATAAGTGACAAGGAACCAAGGCACAAGAAGCCAATGCTATTTTGGGAGTCAGCTTTCCTGTGCCCTTCTTCCCCGTTCTTACTTTTGAATACATAAAGTTTTTCCAGTCTCAATACATCTGTAACTTGTTAGAGCAATCCGCGATTTACATAATCTCTGTCATACACTTCACTTAGTTCTCAGTCTTCTGAAAGCCAATTATTGGTAGCCCCATTTTACTGATGAGGGGGAAAAAAGGTTTGTTCTGTCAAAGGAGGTTAAATAGTATGCTCTGCTTAAAAATCCAGAATATCCTAGCCCAATATTCTGGCCCAGTTGTATTCTGCTTCAAGTTCAACGTGAGTCCCACTCCTTCACAGCCATCCATGGTACATACCCGGTAACAGAGAGAAAGCTCAGACCTGAGGATTAAGTAAGGGGACCTGACATCTTTCCAAATTATTTTGTCCTGGTATCAGGAACAAAGTCATGCCCTAGGGACTACTAACAGTTCAATGTAATAGCAGACAACATGTCTGCTTATTCATCCATTACTGAAAGCCTGGTCTTCCACAGAATACACAGATAGTTTCTTCAACACTGTTGGAAGGAAATACATTTTAAAGCACGATGAGGCAGGAAATGGAACTCATGTGGAGTTTGGGAGGCCCAAGCCCTCAAGGCTGCCTCCCTCTTCACTTCTCCACCCTCACATTGGGCAACTCCCAGAAGGAAGTCATGAAGCGTCCCATGCACATTAAAGAAATTTCAGTGTGATATAAAAAGCACAGAGCGCTTAAATCTCACTCTGCAGTTGCGATCACCAGGGGCACAGTCCTGCCTTCCAGAACTGCTGCTCTCCGTCAGCCCACAGGAGCAGCAAATGCTATTGGGTGAAAGGGAACCCGTAACAATAACCACCAGAGGAGAAAAGCAAGTATATTGTGCCTCAATTTATGCTGAGAAAAGGAAGCCTGGCAAAGAAAAAATGCTTGATGTTTTTAAAGCCCTTATTCATGCCGCGACAATATGCTTATGTTAAAAAATGGCCTCATGCCATCCACAAAAAGGAAACAGCAACACAAGGACTGGCAGGCGTTCAAGAAGAAAGTATAAAGTTTCTTGTTTACTCTTTAATTGTTTAATTAGGCAAATCAGACGAGCTTTGTTTCAAATGTAGCAACCGCAAATTAAATGGACATAGGGAGGAAATTTAATTTTGGAAGCCAGAATTTTTAAAGGCTGAAAGAACTCTTCAAAGTCGTGTAATCAAGTTATTTCACTCTACCGAGGAGAAACTGAGACCTGGGAAGACCAATGTGTCGAAGGTCAGATTGCTAGTCCAGAGCAGAGCCAAAATTATTCATCCTTTCAACTCTTCACAGAGCTTACCATGGGGGATGGGGGGAGGCTGGAGACCAAATACTATGTGATAAGAACTAAAATAGAAATATGATCCGGGAATCACAGACAGAGGAGAAATAGAAGTATGATCCGGGAATAAGACAGAGGAGAACTCCAATTGGGGAAAAGTTGGGGAAGACCCCCAGAAAGTGACATTTGAGACCTAAAGATAAATAAGCACTACCCAGGGAAAGGGAAGGGAGATGGGGGAAGACCGGGAGACGAACAGGAGGGGAGAGGCGGAGGAATGCTCCAGAGTGAGAGTCAAGTTCTAGAAGACAACCCTCATCACTCAGCTAGGATTTATAACACCAAGAAGCAAAAGATAATCAATAAAAAGGAAGGGTCAAATTATGTAATTATGCTTTGTAAGTTACATAATTAAAGAATTTAGACCTGGCTGGGTGCCTATGGCTCAAGCAGCTAAGGCTCCAGCCACATACAACCAGAGCTGGCGGGTTCAAATCCAGGCCGGGCCTGCCAAACAATGACAACTACAACCAACAAATAGTCAGGCGTTGTGGCCGGCACTTGTGGTCCCAGCTACTTGGGAAAGCTGAGGCAACAGAATCGCTTAAGCCCTGGAGTATGAGGTTGTTGTGAGCTATGATGCCATAGCACTCTACCCAGGGCAACAGCTTGAGGCTCTTAGGAAAAAAAATAAAAAAGAACTTACAGCTTATCCTAAGAAGCTGTAGACAGTTACAGAAAAGACTTAAGGTTAAGAACACGAATTTAGGCTCGGCACCTATAGCTAAACCGGCTAAGGCGCCAGCCACGTACACCTAAGGTGGCGGGTTCGTATCCCCAGCCCAGACCTGCCAAACAACAATGACGGCTGCAACCAAAAAATAGCCGGGCGTTGTGGCGGGTGCCTGTGG